TACTAAACTATCGGACCGCATTCATAGCCTACAAGAGAAAAAAATCTTCTATACTGGAAAGGAGGAAAAAAAGAATGTATCAACCTGATACATCTGCCCCTCTTTATAACCCGTGAAATAGCCCTAGTTCTAATTAAATTTCAGTTCAAGCTTCCAAAATGACTTCCAACAATATTAAAGTAGCCACAAAGATCAGACCAATGATCCACCGCGAAGTAGCCGATGGTCTAGAGCGTCTTTGGAACGTAAGAGTAAACTGCATATGGGAAGCCGATGAAAGTAGTCGCCATGGAGAGGTTTATATATTCGACCATGTATTTAATCAGGAATGTACAAATTCAGATGTATATGGATCTGTAGTAAAACCTTTAGTCGATTCCTTCATGGAAGGTTTCAATGCCACAATATTTGCATATGGCCAAACATCTTCTGGCAAAACACACACCATTTTGGGCAATAAAACAGATCCTGGGCTTTTCCAATTAGTATCCAATCAGTTATTCCAGCATGTGGCAGACCAGGTTGATAAGAGGTACTTGATTAGATGCAGTTATATTGAAATCTACAATGAAAAGATCAATGACCTCCTGGATAAGAGCAATCAGGGTTTAACTATGAGAAGATATCAAAGGAAATGTGCTGCTTGATGCAAGGGAAGCTGTCGTAGACAATGTTGATAAAGTTATGGAGAACATGATGCAGGGCAATAAGATCAGACGAGTTGCAGCTACTCGCATGAATGAGAGGTCATCTCGATCACACACGATTTTCCGGATTATTCTGGAGTCGAAAGATGCCAATCAGAAAGATGGACCTGTACATATAAGCTACCTTAACTTAATGGACTTAGCTGGTTCTGAGAGAGTTTCTCTGACGAAAGCTGCTGGTGAGCGTCTTAAAGAGGGGGCTAACATAAACAAATCTTTGTCAGTATTAGGAAATGTGATAAGGCAACTAAGCGAGGGGAAGGAGTTTATCAGTTATCGCGATTCGAAATTGACTAGACTGCTCTCACAGGCTCTTGGCGGTAATGCCAAATCATTGATTATCGGGAATGTTACTTTAGCTGCAGAGGAGGAGACTAGATCTACACCAGAATTCGCCCAAAGCACTAAAACTGTCAAAAATAAAACGAAAGTAAACATCTTGTCAGCTACAGAAGAGACACTTCAAGGATATCAGAACTTGACTCGCGATCTCGAAACTCGGCTCAAAAAGCAGGCAATTAAGCTAAAAGAGATGGATAAAAGCAAACAAGAGTATCTGCTCGAGATAGAAAGACTAAAAACGGAAGTATCTATTGTCGGGCGCTTTCAAATGGGAGCCTCGGCATCAACACCGAAAAAAACATTAAGACGTCATACTTTTGGACACTATGGCAACGTATCACCTAAAAAAGCATCCCTAGGGTATATGCCATTGAAAAATTATCCACCCAAAGAAGAATCATCCGGACGTGAAATGAGGCCTATTCAAGAAGAGACATATGAGGAGGCACTAGCCGAAGCAGAATCTGTGATAGCTGAAGACGTGCAAGTGTACTTAAAAGACAACGCAAAGAACTGGAAGAATCTTTCAATGAGCTTAGAGAATTCACTAAACTAGATAATCAGCTGGAGATTTTGGACCTGAAGAAACAGCTCACAGAAGCCAATTCTAAAATCGATCGTTACAGTCAGGAACTCCGCCAAGTAACGGATGCGTACAACGAAGAAAGAAAGAGGTTCAAAAAAATTCTCAAAAAGCGCAAGAATTTCATCGACTTGCAATACAGACTCGATTTTCTGGAAAAAAATAATAAAAAGACTAAAAACATACGAGTCAGAAATAGAGATGCTGCGTACTCAACTGAAGAACCTAGGAAGATCAGAGAGCCCTAAACCATCTCTTGAAGCTCAAAATATTGAGTCAAAAAAGAAGGTTGCAGACTTAGAAGCTATGCTTGACGCTGAGTACGAAGATATGCAAGATTCTTTAAGTGCTGCTACACAAACTGATGTAACGATGTCACACATTGCTGAACTGCAAGATGAAATTGGCTTCCTAAAAGAACTTGAATCTAAACTGAGAAATGACGTAAAGAGTCTGATGGACGAGAGTAACCAACGTGAGGTCAACCACTCATTTAAAATCTCAGATATACGATGCCATAATGATTCTACTATAAAAGAGCTTCAGGATCAAATGGCTGAACTGGAATGCCAAAACGAAATCTGGATTATGAAAAGTGCCCCTCTTTATAACCCGTGAAATAGCCCTAGTTCTAATTAAATTTCAGTTCAAGCTTCCAAAATGACTTCCGACAATATTAAAGTAGCCACAAAGATCAGACCAATGATCCACCGCGAAGTAGCCGATGGTCTAGAGCGTCTTTGGAACGTAAGAGTAAACTGCATATGGGAAGCCGAGATGAAAGTAGTCGCCATGGAGAGGTTTATATATTCGACCATGTATTTAAGCAGGAATGTACAAATTCAGATGTATATGGATCTGTAGTAAAACCTTTAGTCGATTCCTTCATGGAAGGTTTCAATGCCACAATATTTGCATATGGCCAAACATCTTCTGGCAAAACACACACCATTTTGGGCAATAAAACAGATCCTGGGCTTTTCCAATTAGTATCCAATCAGTTATTCCAGCATGTGGCAGACCAGGTTGATAAGAGGTACTTGATTAGATGCAGTTATATTGAAATCTACAATGAAAAGATCAATGACCTCCTGGATAAGAGCAATCAGGGTTTAACTATAAGAGAGATATCAAAGGAAATGTGCTGCTTGATGCAAGGGAAGCTGTCGTAGACAATGTTGATAAAGTTATGGAGAACATGATGCAGGCAATAAGATCAGACGAGTTGCAGCTACTCGCTATGAATGAGAGGTCATCTCGATCACACACGATTTTCCGGATTATTCTGGAGTCGAAAGATGCCAATCAGAAAGATGGACCTGTACATATAAGCTACCTTAACTTAATGGACTTAGCTGGTTCTGAGAGAGTTTCTCTGACGAAAGCTGCTGGTGAGCGTCTTAAAGAGGGGGCTAACATAAACAAATCTTGTCAGTATTAGGAAATGTGATAAGGCAACTAAGCGAGGGGAAGGAGTTTATCAGTTATCGCGATTCGAAATTGACTAGACTGCTCTCACAGGCTCTTGGCGGTAATGCCAAATCATTGATTATCGGGAATGTTACTTTAGCTGCAGAGGAGGAGACTAGATCTACACCAGAATTCGCCCAAAGCACTAAAACTGTCAAAAATAAAACGAAAGTAAACATCTTGTCAGCTACAGAAGAGACACTTCAAGGATATCAGAACTTGACTCGCGATCTCGAAACTCGGCTCAAAAAGCAGGCAATTAAGCTAAAAGAGATGGATAAAAGCAAACAAGAGTATCTGCTCGAGATAGAAAGACTAAAAACGGAAGTATCTATTGTCGGGCGCTTTCAAATGGGAGCCTCGGCATCAACACCGAAAAAAACATTAAGACGTCATACTTTTGGACACTATGGCAACGTATCACCTAAAAAAGCATCCCTAGGGTATATGCCATTGAAAAATTATCCACCCAAAGAAGAATCATCCGGACGTGAAATGAGGCCTATTCAAGAAGAGACATATGAGGAGGCACTAGCCGAAGCAGAATCTGTGATAGCTGAAGACGTGCAAGTGTACTTAAAAGACAACTCAAAGAACTGGAAGAATCTTTCAATGAGCTTAGAGAATTCACTAAACTAGATAATCAGCTGGAGATTTTGGACCTGAAGAAACAGCTCACAGAAGCCAATTCTAAATTCGATCGTTACAGTCAGGAACTCCGCCAAGTAACGGATGCGTACAACGAAGAAATAGAAAGAGTCAAAAAAATTCTCAAAAAGCGCAAGAATTTCATCGACTTGCAATACAGACTCGATTTTCTGGAAAAAAATAATAAAAAGACTAAAAACATACGAGTCAGAAATAGAGATGCTGCGTACTCAACTGAAGAACCTAGGAAGATCAGAGAGCCCTAAACCATCTCTTGAAGCTCAAAATATTGAGTCAAAAAAGAAGGTTGCAGACTTAGAAGCTATGCTTGACGCTGAGTACGAAGATATGCAACATTCTTTAAGTGCTGCTGCACAAACTGATGTAACGATGTCACACATTGCTGAACTGCAAGATGAAATTGGCTTCCTAAAAGAACTTGAATCTAAACTGAGAAATGACGTAAAGAGTCTGATGGACGAGAGTAACCAACGTGAGGTCAACCACTCATTTAAAATCTCAGATATACGATGCCATAATGATTCTACTATAAAAGAGCTTCAGGATCAAATGGCTGAACTGGAATGCCAAAACGAAATCTGGATTATGAAAAAGGACGACGAAATCAGAAAATTGCAACAACTAATTACAAACCCGAAGCAGGCTGGCACTTAACCAGAACCACCTGTGCAGGAAGACGTTGCATTTTATAGGGAGCAAGTTGAGTTCTCCCAGAACATGTACAAAAATGAGATAATAGGTGGAGAGTTACGTATAAACCATAGAGAAAATCTTCAGGCAGTTAACTAGAAATATGTCTACCCTTGTTTAGTGTTTACGATTATTGCAGGGTTTGGACAAAGTTTAGGGCTGATCCCAGTGCTCACAGTGTACAATTTTCAGCTAATAAATCTTGAATTCTGAGGTAACAAAATCAACTAGAACTCTGAAAAAGTGATTTATCAGAAATCATGCCCTTACTTCCATGATAAGAGGGATTCGTAAAAATTATAAGCAGGTTGTGGCTTATTATCTAGTAAAAGATACAAGAATCCCAGATCTGAAAACGATTATTGTTCATGTGATCACAAACTAGCAGCGACTTGGTTTTGTGCGTTGTTGGCACTATTTCTAATCAGGGCGCAACGATCAAAAACGCACTTGAGACGATTTGCTCGGAGAATACTCACGGATCAAGTCCATTCCATTTTATAGTCAATGCTCAGAGTATTTCTACAATTTGTGATGAACCACATTTATTCAAAAATGGATGAAATGCTCTTATTGACATTAATATGAAAGTGAAGAAGCTGCACAGATTGAACATGTCTAGAAATCATATAATGTTGATCAGCAAACAAGACCATACAAAGAGCTATGTAAATTGAAACCCAGCCACTTTGATTTTATAGATTCGTTCAAGAATATAGAAATTAATCCTTTAATGATATCGTCGGATGATTCGAGCTTTCTCAGTTATGTGGTGGGGGTCCCGTGACTTCTCATACGGTATGAGCACGTATACCTCAACCACAGTTTAATTTAAACATCACAATTGTTGGTTTGTTGACTTTGCGGTCAAATTTGATCCGAGGATGTCAGTTGCGTGTACGATTTGAACTTCCTTCACAATGGATTTTTTCGTTGTTGACGGATGAACAATACACTATAGACTACGCCGAGGACGACGCTGCTATCGATCAACCTGAACAACTTCCTATGGGCGACCTCGCTATGCCTATGGAAAAAACATGTACAATTGGTCAAAACGAGCGCCTGCAACTGGTCGATTATTACGCATTTACCTGAACTAAAGTCCGTGGCAACCAATTTGGAAAATAATAACCCTGTGACTCGAGAAATGCCGATAAATTTCTCCAAATACGTGAAATTTTCGAGACACTCATAGAGAACTGTCGAAATTGTTATATTTCGGGTGAGTCCCCTACAAAATACGAGATGCTCGTGGGCCGATGTCCTTCCTGTGCCTACAAGAAAACTAAACCGAATAAGTATGGACTGATGATGCAAAGACTCACCACTACCTGCTCAATGCTTTCGTCTATACGAACAGAAATATCACAGCAGATGACTGGTTCACGTCAGTAGAATTACATGTAGAATTGCGCATCAACCAACTGACCTATGTCGGCAGGAAGCGTAAAATAAGTAACAAGTACCCCAACATGTAGTTCCAAATAAGAAGGAAACACAGCCAGGTACTTCTAAGTTTATGTTGTACAGCCTTAGAGTAGTATCTTCCAAAACCAAATACACATGTTCTCGTATAGCAATCTATGCAGCATGATAACAAAATAGTAGAGGAATCAAAGAAACCTGATAAGATCCTATATTATTTTATAACACTATGAAGGCGGGGGGTAATGCATTAGATCGGAAGTGTGTAAATTACAATACTGGTTAGAGAACGAGAAGATGGCCTTGTGCTATTTGGTATCCAACCAGCTTCTGTAAATTCCTTTTTTTTCAGTCTGGGACTGAAAGTTCCATTAGGCGACGAAATTTTATTGTTCCCCTGAGGCAAACTCTAATTTAACTTCGTATGAGAGGACGTTTATCAGATCCAAGACTTCCTAGGGAGCTTCGTTCAGCCATGCAAAGAATCCTAAATTACCAACGACGAATAAAGTAAGCCGTCTACTTCTCAGCCCAGAGTTCTCGATCCTGATGCAGTTGTTAAAGAAAAAAACGACGTAGGTGTTACATGACAATACACAATGAAAAAAATGTTCTACAATCTGTAATAAGTATGTAAAGTCACAGCGCACTTACATTGTTTCGTGAAAAGTGATAAATGTTAATTATTGTATGTTTCCTTATACGAGAAAGTATTTGTTTTTGTTGTAGAATATCAACACCAAATATGTTGTTAAATGGCCCATTTTGTTAGTTTTTTTATGTTCATATTACAGTTCAAGTTTCGAGGATTATATTTATTGCATTACTCATCTTCAATGGGGTATTTTCGTTTTTAGACAATAAACAGTTTTCATGTAAGAGTGTCTTATGCGTACAAACCTGTTGTACACATGGCTAAAAACAGTAATGGCATTTCAGATGTTGATAGTAAGATCCGGTGGATAACCTGTTTTGCGAGATTAGACGTGGGATTTCCAACACGAACACCATCTGTTTATTTGAAGCATTAAAAACTGTAATAATCAACAATTTCAGTTTTCCATTGACAATAATGAAGAATTATGAAGGCGATTCATGTAAGGCACTAGGTAACTTCGCGTTGCTTTTAGAAGAGTATTGTCTGAATAGACAACAGTTACCTTGTGATTCTTCACCGAGCTGCATTTTTCAAGTTGAAAAATCGGGTGCTGAAAGTGATGGATCTATAGATTTGTGAGAATTTGCTGCTGCTTCAACTTCTTTTTGTAATAACAATAACAGTCTATATGAAATTTAACAATTCTGTTTCTTCTTTGATTTTGAGTCACCCTGTAAATGTAGCTCTACTAAACTATCGGACCGCATTCATAGCCTACAAGAGAAAAAAATCTTCTATACTGGAAAGGAGGAAAAAAGAATGTATCAACCTGATACATCTGCCCCTCTTTATAACCCGTGAAATAGCCCTAGTTCTAATTAAATTTCAGTTCAAGCTTCCAAAATGACTTCCAACAATATTAAAGTAGCCACAAAGATCAGACCAATGATCCACCGCGAAGTAGCCGATGGTCTAGAGCGTCTTTGGAACGTAAGAGTAAACTGCATATGGGAAGCCGATGAAAGTAGTCGCCATGGAGAGGTTTATATATTCGACCATGTATTTAATCAGGAATGTACAAATTCAGATGTATATGGATCTGTAGTAAAACCTTTAGTCGATTCCTTCATGGAAGGTTTCAATGCCACAATATTTGCATATGGCCAAACATCTTCTGGCAAAACACACACCATTTTGGGCAATAAAACAGATCCTGGGCTTTTCCAATTAGTATCCAATCAGTTATTCCAGCATGTGGCAGACCAGGTTGATAAGAGGGTACTTGATTAGATGCAGTTATATTGAAATCTACAATGAAAAGATCAATGACCTCCTGGATAAGAGCAATCAGGGTTTAACTATGAGAAGATATCAAAGGAAATGTGCTGCTTGATGCAAGGGAAGCTGTCGTAGACAATGTTGATAAAGTTATGGAGAACATGATGCAGGGCAATAAGATCAGACGAGTTGCAGCTACTCGCATGAATGAGAGGTCATCTCGATCACACACGATTTTCCGGATTATTCTGGAGTCGAAAGATGCCAATCAGAAAGATGGACCTGTACATATAAGCTACCTTAACTTAATGGACTTAGCTGGTTCTGAGAGAGTTTCTCTGACGAAAGCTGCTGGTGAGCGTCTTAAAGAGGGGGCTAACATAAACAAATCTTTGTCAGTATTAGGAAATGTGATAAGGCAACTAAGCGAGGGGAAGGAGTTTATCAGTTATCGCGATTCGAAATTGACTAGACTGCTCTCACAGGCTCTTGGCGGTAATGCCAAATCATTGATTATCGGGAATGTTACTTTAGCTGCAGAGGAGGAGACTAGATCTACACCAGAATTCGCCCAAAGCACTAAAACTGTCAAAAATAAAACGAAAGTAAACATCTTGTCAGCTACAGAAGAGACACTTCAAGGATATCAGAACTTGACTCGCGATCTCGAAACTCGGCTCAAAAAGCAGGCAATTAAGCTAAAAGAGATGGATAAAAGCAAACAAGAGTATCTGCTCGAGATAGAAAGACTAAAAACGGAAGTATCTATTGTCGGGCGCTTTCAAATGGGAGCCTCGGCATCAACACCGAAAAAAACATTAAGACGTCATACTTTGGACACTATGGCAACGTATCACCTAAAAAAGCATCCCTAGGGTATATGCCATTGAAAAATTATCCACCCAAAGAAGAATCATCCGGACGTGAAATGAGGCCTATTCAAGAAGAGACATATGAGGAGGCACTAGCCGAAGCAGAATCTGTGATAGCTGAAGACGTGCAAGTGTACTTAAAAGACAACGCAAAGAACTGGAAGAATCTTTCAATGAGCTTAGAGAATTCACTAAACTAGATAATCAGCTGGAGATTTTGGACCTGAAGAAACAGCTCACAGAAGCCAATTCTAAAATCGATCGTTACAGTCAGGAACTCCGCCAAGTAACGGATGCGTACAACGAAGAAATAGAAAGAGTTCAAAAAAATTCTCAAAAAGCGCAAGAATTTCATCGACTTGCAATACAGACTCGATTTTCTGGAAAAAAATAATAAAAAGACTAAAAACATACGAGTCAGAAATAGAGATGCTGCGTACTCAACTGAAGAACCTAGGAAGATCAGAGAGCCCTAAACCATCTCTTGAAGCTCAAAATATTGAGTCAAAAAAGAAGGTTGCAGACTTAGAAGCTATGCTTGACGCTGAGTACGAAGATATGCAAGATTCTTTAAGTGCTGCTACACAAACTGATGTAACGATGTCACACATTGCTGAACTGCAAGATGAAATTGGCTTCCTAAAAGAACTTGAATCTAAACTGAGAAATGACGTAAAGAGTCTGATGGACGAGAGTAACCAACGTGAGGTCAACCACTCATTTAAAATCTCAGATATACGATGCCATAATGATTCTACTATAAAAGAGCTTCAGGATCAAATGGCTGAACTGGAATGCCAAAACGAAATCTGGATTATGAAAGTGCCCCTCTTTATAACCCGTGAAATAGCCCTAGTTCTAATTAAATTTCAGTTCAAGCTTCCAAAATGACTTCCGACAATATTAAAGTAGCCACAAAGATCAGACCAATGATCCACCGCGAAGTAGCCGATGGTCTAGAGCGTCTTTGGAACGTAAGAGTAAACTGCATATGGGAAGCCGATGAAAGTAGTCGCCATGGAGAGGTTTATATATTCGACCATGTATTTAAGCAGGAATGTACAAATTCAGATGTATATGGATCTGTAGTAAAACCTTTAGTCGATTCCTTCATGGAAGGTTTCAATGCCACAATATTTGCATATGGCCAAACATCTTCTGGCAAAACACACACCATTTTGGGCAATAAAACAGATCCTGGGCTTTTCCAATTAGTATCCAATCAGTTATTCCAGCATGTGGCAGACCAGGTTGATAAGAGGTACTTGATTAGATGCAGTTATATTGAAATCTACAATGAAAAGATCAATGACCTCCTGGATAAGAGCAATCAGGGTTTAACTATAAGAGAAGATATCAAAGGAAATGTGCTGCTTGATGCAAGGGAAGCTGTCGTAGACAATGTTGATAAAGTTATGGAGAACATGATGCAGGGCAATAAGATCAGACGAGTTGCAGCTACTCGCATGAATGAGAGGTCATCTCGATCACACACGATTTTCCGGATTATTCTGGAGTCGAAAGATGCCAATCAGAAAGATGGACCTGTACATATAAGCTACCTTAACTTAATGGACTTAGCTGGTTCTGAGAGAGTTTCTCTGACGAAAGCTGCTGGTGAGCGTCTTAAAGAGGGGGCTAACATAAACAAATCTTTGTCAGTATTAGGAAATGTGATAAGGCAACTAAGCGAGGGGAAGGAGTTTATCAGTTATCGCGATTCGAAATTGACTAGACTGCTCTCACAGGCTCTTGCGGTAATGCCAAATCATTGATTATCGGGAATGTTACTTTAGCTGCAGAGGAGGAGACTAGATCTACACCAGAATTCGCCCAAAGCACTAAAACTGTCAAAATAAAACGAAAGTAAACATCTTGTCAGCTACAGAAGAGACACTTCAAGGATATCAGAACTTGACTCGCGATCTCGAAACTCGGCTCAAAAAGCAGGCAATTAAGCTAAAAGAGATGGATAAAAGCAAACAAGAGTATCTGCTCGAGATAGAAAGACTAAAAACGGAAGTATCTATTGTCGGGCGCTTTCAAATGGGAGCCTCGGCATCAACACCGAAAAAAACATTAAGACGTCATACTTTTGGACACTATGGCAACGTATCACCTAAAAAAGCATCCCTAGGGTATATGCCATTGAAAAATTATCCACCCAAAGAAGAATCATCCGGACGTGAAATGAGGCCTATTCAAGAAGAGACATATGAGGAGGCACTAGCCGAAGCAGAATCTGTGATAGCTGAAGACGTGCAAGTGTACTTAAAAGACAACTCAAAGAACTGGAAGAATCTTTCAATGAGCTTAGAGAATTCACTAAACTAGATAATCAGCTGGAGATTTTGGACCTGAAGAAACAGCTCACAGAAGCCAATTCTAAATTCGATCGTTACAGTCAGGAACTCCGCCAAGTAACGGATGCGTACAACGAAGAAATAGAAAGAGTTCAAAAAAATTCTCAAAAAGCGCAAGAATTTCATCGACTTGCAATACAGACTCGATTTTCTGGAAAAAAATAATAAAAAGACTAAAAACATACGAGTCAGAAATAGAGATGCTGCGTACTCAACTGAAGAACCTAGGAAGATCAGAGAGCCCTAAACCATCTCTTGAAGCTCAAAATATTGAGTCAAAAAAGAAGGTTGCAGACTTAGAAGCTATGCTTGACGCTGAGTACGAAGATATGCAACATTCTTTAAGTGCTGCTGCACAAACTGATGTAACGATGTCACACATTGCTGAACTGCAAGATGAAATTGGCTTCCTAAAAGAACTTGAATCTAAACTGAGAAATGACGTAAAGAGTCTGATGGACGAGAGTAACCAACGTGAGGTCAACCACTCATTTAAAATCTCAGATATACGATGCCATAATGATTCTACTATAAAAGAGCTTCAGGATCAAATGGCTGAACTGGAATGCCAAAACGAAATCTGGATTATGAAAAAGGACGACGAAATCAGAAAATTGCAACAACTAATTACAAACCCGAAGCAGGCTGGCACTTAACCAGAACCACCTGTGCAGGAAGACGTTGCATTTTATAGGGAGCAAGTTGAGTTCTCCCAGAACATGTACAAAAATGAGATAATAGGTGGAGAGTTACGTATAAACCATAGAGAAAATCTTCAGGCAGTTAAACTAGAAATATGTCTACCCTTGTTTAGTGTTTACGATTATTGCAGGGTTTGGACAAGTTTAGGGCTGATCCCAGTGCTCACAGTGTACAATTTTCAGCTAATAAATCTTGAATTCTGAGGTAACAAATCAACTAGAACTCTGAAAAAGTGATTTATCAGAAATCATGCCCTTACTTCCATGATAAGAGGGATTCGTAAAAATTATAAGCAGGTTGTGGCTTATTATCTAGTAAAAGATACAAGAATCCCAGATCTGAAAACGATTATTGTTCATGTGATCACAAACTAGCAGCGACTTGGTTTGTGCGTTGTTGGCACTATTTCTAATCAGGGCGCAACGATCAAAAACGCACTTGAGACGATTTGCTCGGAGAATACTCACGGATCAAGTCCATTCCATTTTATAGTCAATGCTCAGAGTATTTCTACAATTTGTGATGAACCACATTTATTCAAAAATGGATGAAATGCTCTTATTGACATTAATATGAAAGTGAAGAAGCTGCACAGATTGAACATGTCTAGAAATCATATAATGTTGATCAGCAAACAAGACCATACAAAGAGCTATGTAAATTGAAACCCAGCCACTTTGATTTTATAGATTCGTTCAAGAATATAGAAATTAATCCTTTAATGATATCGTCGGATGATTCGAGCTTTCTCAGTTATGTGGTGGGGGTCCCGTGACTTCTCATACGGTATGAGCACGTATACCTCAAACCACAGTTTAATTTAAACATCACAATTGTTGGTTTGTTGACTTTGCGGTCAAATTTGATCCGAGGATGTCAGTTGCGTGTACGATTTGAACTTCCTTCACAATGGATTTTTTCGTTGTTGACGGATGAACAATACACTATAGACTACGCCGAGGACGACGCTGCTATCGATCAACCTGAACAACTTCCTATGGGCGACCTCGCTATGCCTATGGAAAAAACATGTACAATTGGTCAAAACGAGCGCCTGCAACTGGTCGATTATTACGCATTTACCTGAACTAAAGTCCGTGGCAACCAATTTGGAAAATAATAACCCTGTGACTCGAGAAATGCCGATAAATTTCTCCAAATACGTGAAATTTTCGAGACACTCATAGAGAACTGTCGAAATTGTTATATTTCGGGTGAGTCCCCTACAAAATACGAGATGCTCGTGGGCCGATGTCCTTCCTGTGCCTACAAGAAAACTAAACCGAATAAGTATGGACTGATGATGCAAAGACTCACCACTACCTGCTCAATGCTTTCGTCTATACGAACAGAAATATCACAGCAGATGACTGGTTCACGTCAGTAGAATTACATGTAGAATTGCGCATCAACCAACTGACCTATGTCGGCAGGAAGCGTAAAAATAAGTAACAAGTACCCCAACATGTAGTTCCAAATAGAAGGAAACACAGCCAGGTACTTCTAAGTTTATGTTGTACAGCCTTAGAGTAGTATCTTCCAAAACCAAATACACATGTTCTCGTATAGCAATCTATGCAGCATGATAACAAATAGTAGAGGAATCAAAGAAACCTGATAAGATCCTATATTATTTTTATAACACTATGAAGGCGGGGGGTAATGCATTAGATCGGAAGTGTGTAAATTACAATACTGGTTAGAGAACGAGAAGATGGCCTTGTGCTATTTGGTATCCAACCAGCTTCTGTAAATTCCTTTTTTTTCAGTCTGGGACTGAAAGTTCCATTAGGCGACGAAATTTTATTGTTCCCCTGAGGCAAACTCTAATTTAACTTCGTATGAGAGGACGTTTATCAGATCCAAGACTTCCTAGGGAGCTTCGTTCAGCCATGCAAAGAATCCTAAATTACCAACGACGAATAAAGTAAGCCGTCTACTTCTCAGCCCAGAGTTCTCGATCCTGATGCAGTTGTTAAAGAAAAAAAACGACGTAGGTGTTACATGACAATACACAATGAAAAAAATGTTCTACAATCTGTAATAAGTATGTAAAGTCACAGCGCACTTACATTGTTTCGTGAAAAGTGATAAATGTTAATTATTGTATGTTTCCTATACGAGAAAGTATTTGTTTTTGTTGTAGAATATCAACACCAAATATGTTGTTAAATGGCCCATTTTGTTAGTTTTTTTATGTTCATATTACAGTTCAAGTTTCGAGGATATATTTATTGCATTACTCATCTTCAATGGGGTATTTTCGTTTTTAGACAATAAACAGTTTTCATGTAAGAGTGTCTTATGCGTACAAACCTGTTGTACACATGGCTAAAAACAGTAATGGCATTTCAGATGTTGATAGTAAGATCCGGTGGATAACCTGTTTTGCGAGATTAGACGTGGGATTTCCAACACGAACACCATCTGTTTATTTGAAGCATTAAAAACTGTAATAATCAACAATTTCAGTTTTCCATTGACAATAATGAAGAATTATGAAGGCGATTCATGTAAGGCACTAGGTAACTTCGCGTTGCTTTTAGAAGAGTATTGTCTGAATAGACAACAGTTACCTTGTGATTCTTCACCGAGCTGCATTTTTCAAGTTGAAAAATCGGGTGCTGAAAGTGATGGATCTATAGATTTGTGAGAATTTGCTGCTGCTTCAACTTCTTTTTGTAATAACAATAACAGTCTATATGAAATTTAACAATTCTGTTTCTTCTTTGATTTTGAGTCACCCTGTAAATGTAGCTCTACTAAACTATCGGACCGCATTCATAGCCTACAAGAGAAAAAAATCTTCTATACTGGAAAGGAGGAAAAAAAGAATGTATCAACCTGATACATCTGCCCCTCTTTATAACCCGTGAAATAGCCCTAGTTCTAATTAAATTTCAGTTCAAGCTTCCAAAATGACTTCCAACAATATTAAAGTAGCCACAAAGATCAGACCAATGATCCACCGCGAAGTAGCCGATGGTCTAGAGCGTCTTTGGAACGTAAGAGTAAACTGCATATGGGAAGCCGATGAAAGTAGTCGCCATGGAGAGGTTTATATATTCGACCATGTATTTAATCAGGAATGTACAAATTCAGATGTATATGGATCTGTAGTAAAACCTTTAGTCGATTCCTTCATGGAAGGTTTCAATGCCACAATATTTGCATATGGCCAAACATCTTCTGGCAAAACACACACCATTTTGGGCAATAAAACAGATCCTGGGCTTTTCCAATTAGTATCCAATCAGTTATTCCAGCATGTGGCAGACCAGGTTGATAAGAGGTACTTGATTAGATGCAGTTATATTGAAATCTACAATGAAAAGATCAATGACCTCCTGGATAAGAGCAATCAGGGTTTAACTATGAGAAGATATCAAAGGAAATGTGCTGCTTGATGCAAGGGAAGCTGTCGTAGACAATGTTGATAAAGTTATGGAGAACATGATGCAGGGCAATAAGATCAGACGAGTTGCAGCTACTCGCATGAATGAGAGGTCATCTCGATCACACACGATTTTCCGGATTATTCTGGAGTCGAAAGATGCCAATCAGAAAGATGGACCTGTACATATAAGCTACCTTAACTTAATGGACTTAGCTGGTTCTGAGAGAGTTTCTCTGACGAAAGCTGCTGGTGAGCGTCTTAAAGAGGGGGCTAACATAAACAAATCTTTGTCAGTATTAGGAAATGTGATAAGGCAACTAAGCGAGGGGAAGGAGTTTATCAGTTATCGCGATTCGAAATTGACTAGACTGCTCTCACAGGCTCTTGGCGGTAATGCCAAATCATTGATTATCGGGAATGTTACTTTAGCTGCAGAGGAGGAGGACTAGATCTACACCAGAATTCGCCCAAAGCACTAAAACTGTCAAAAATAAAACGAAAGTAAACATCTTGTCAGCTACAGAAGAGACACTTCAAGGATATCAGAACTTGACTCGCGATCTCGAAACTCGGCTCAAAAAGCAGGCAATTAAGCTAAAAGAGATGGATAAAAGCAAACAAGAGTATCTGCTCGAGATAGAAAGACTAAAAACGGAAGTATCTATTGTCGGGCGCTTTCAAATGGGAGCCTCGGCATCAACACCGAAAAAAACATTAAGACGTCATACTTTTGGACACTATGGCAACGTATCACCTAAAAAAGCATCCCTAGGGTATATGCCATTGAAAAATTATCCACCCAAAGAAGAATCATCCGGACGTGAAATGAGGCCTATTCAAGAAGAGACATATGAGGAGGCACTAGCCGAAGCAGAATCTGTGATAGCTGAAGACGTGCAAGTGTACTTAAAAGACAACGCAAAGAACTGGAAGAATCTTTCAATGAGCTTAGAGAATTCACTAACTAGATAATCAGCTGGAGATTTTGGACCTGAAGAAACAGCTCACAGAAGCCAATTCTAAATCGATCGTTACAGTCAGGAACTCCGCCAAGTAACGGATGCGTACAACGAAGAAATAGAAAGAGTTCAAAAAAATTCTCAAAAAGCGCAAGAATTTCATCGACTTGCAATACAGACTCGATTTTCTGGAAAAAAATAATAAAAAGACTAAAAACATACGAGTCAGAAATAGAGATGCTGCGTACTCAACTGAAGAACCTAGGAAGATCAGAGAGCCCTAAACCATCTCTTGAAGCTCAAATATTGAGTCAAAAAAGAAGGTTGCAGACTTAGAAGCTATGCTTGACGCTGAGTACGAAGATATGCAAGATTCTTTAAGTGCTGCTACACAAACTGATGTAACGATGTCACACATTGCTGAACTGCAAGATGAAATTGGCTTCCTAAAAGAACTTGAATCTAAACTGAGAAATGACGTAAAGAGTCTGATGGACGAGAGTAACCAACGTGAGGTCAACCACTCATTTAAAATCTCAGATATACGATGCCATAATGATTCTACTATAAAAGAGCTTCAGGATCAAATGGCTGAACTGGAATGCCAAAACGAAATCTGGATTATGAAAAGTGCCCCTCTTTATAACCCGTGAAATAGCCCTAGTTCTAATTAAATTTCAGTTCAAGCTTCCAAAATGACTTCCGACAATATTAAAGTAGCCACAAAGATCAGACCAATGATCCACCGCGAAGTAGCCGATGGTCTAGAGCGTCTTTGGAACGTAAGAGTAAACTGCATATGGGAAGCCGATGAAAGTAGTCGCCATGGAGAGGTTTATATATTCGACCATGTATTTAAGCAGGAATGTACAAATTCAGATGTATATGGATCTGTAGTAAAACCTTTAGTCGATTCCTTCATGGAAGGTTTCAATGCCACAATATTTGCATATGGCCAAACATCTTCTGGCAAAACACACACCATTTGGGCAATAAAACAGATCCTGGGCTTTTCCAATTAGTATCCAATCAGTTATTCCAGCATGTGGCAGACCAGGTTGATAAGAGGTACTTGATTAGATGCAGTTATATTGAAATCTACAATGAAAAGATCAATGACCTCCTGGATAAGAGCAATCAGGGTTTAACTATAAGAGAAGATATCAAAGGAAATGTGCTGCTTGATGCAAGGGAAGCTGTCGTAGACAATGTTGATAAAGTTATGGAGAACATGATGCAGGGCAATAAGATCAGACGAGTTGCAGCTACTCGCATGAATGAGAGGTCATCTCGATCACACACGATTTTCCGGATTATTCTGGAGTCGAAAGATGCCAATCAGAAAGATGGACCTGTACATATAAGCTACCTTAACTTAATGGACTTAGCTGGTTCTGAGAGAGTTTCTCTGACGAAAGCTGCTGGTGAGCGTCTTAAAGAGGGGGCTAACATAAACAAATCTTTGTCAGTATTAGGAAATGTGATAAGGCAACTAAGCGAGGGGAAGGAGTTTATCAGTTATCGCGATTCGAAATTGACTAGACTGCTCTCACAGGCTCTTGGCGGTAATGCCAAATCATTGATTATCGGGAATGTTACTTTAGCTGCAGAGGAGGAGACTAGATCTACAACCAGAATTCGCCCAAAGCACTAAAACTGTCAAAATAAAACGAAAGTAAACATCTTGTCAGCTACAGAAGAGACACTTCAAGGATATCAGAACTTGACTCGCGATCTCGAAACTCGGCTCAAAAAGCAGGCAATTAAGCTAAAAGAGATGGATAAAAGCAAACAAGAGTATCTGCTCGAGATAGAAAGACTAAAAACGGAAGTATCTATTGTCGGGCGCTTTCAAATGGGAGCCTCGGCATCAACACCGAAAAAAACATTAAGACGTCATACTTTTGGACACTATGGCAACGTATCACCTAAAAAAGCATCCCTAGGGTATATGCCATTGAAAAATTATCCACCCAAAGAAGAATCATCCGGACGTGAAATGAGGCCTATTCAAGAAGAGACATATGAGGAGGCACTAGCCGAAGCAGAATCTGTGATAGCTGAAGACGTGCAAGTGTACTTAAAAGACAACTCAAAGAACTGGAAGAATCTTTCAATGAGCTTAGAGAATTCACTAAACTAGATAATCAGCTGGAGATTTGGACCTGAAGAAACAGCTCACAGAAGCCAATTCTAAATTCGATCGTTACAGTCAGGAACTCCGCCAAGTAACGGATGCGTACAACGAAGAAATAGAAAGAGTTCAAAAAAATTCTCAAAAAGCGCAAGAATTTCATCGACTTGCAATACAGACTCGATTTTCTGGAAAAAAATAATAAAAAGACTAAAAACATACGAGTCAGAAATAGAGATGCTGCGTACTCAACTGAAGAACCTAGGAAGATCAGAGAGCCCTAAACCATCTCTTGAAGCTCAAAATATTGAGTCAAAAAAGAAGGTTGCAGACTTAGAAGCTATGCTTGACGCTGAGTACGAAGATATGCAACATTCTTTAAGTGCTGCTGCACAAACTGATGTAACGATGTCACACATTGCTGAACTGCAAGATGAAATTGGCTTCCTAAAAGAACTTGAATCTAAACTGAGAAATGACGTAAAGAGTCTGATGGACGAGAGTAACCAACGTGAGGTCAACCACTCATTTAAAATCTCAGATATACGATGCCATAATGATTCTACTATAAAAGAGCTTCAGGATCAAATGGCTGAACTGGAATGCCAAAACGAAATCTGGATTATGAAAAAGGACGACGAAATCAGAAAATTGCAACAACTAATTACAAACCCGAAGCAGGCTGGCACTTAACCAGAACCACCTGTGCAGGAAGACGTTGCATTTTATAGGGAGCAAGTTGAGTTCTCCCAGAACATGTACAAAAATGAGATAATAGGTGGAGAGTTACGTATAAACCATAGAGAAAATCTTCAGGCAGTTAAACTAGAAATATGTCTACCCTTGTTTAGTGTTTACGATTATTGCAGGGTTTGGACAAAGTTTAGGGCTGATCCCAGTGCTCACAGTGTACAATTTTCAGCTATAAATCTTGAATTCTGAGGTAACAAAATCAACTAGAACTCTGAAAAAGTGATTTATCAGAAATCATGCCCTTACTTCCATGATAAGAGGGATTCGTAAAAATTATAAGCAGGTTGTGGCTTATTATCTAGTAAAAGATACAAGAATCCCAGATCTGAAAACGATTATTGTTCATGTGATCACAAACTAGCAGCGACTTGGTTTGTGCGTTGTTGGCACTATTTCTAATCAGGGCGCAACGATCAAAAACGCACTTGAGACGATTTGCTCGGAGAATACTCACGGATCAAGTCCATTCCATTTTATAGTCAATGCTCAGAGTATTTCTACAATTTGTGATGAACCACATTTATTCAAAAATGGATGAAATGCTCTTATTGACATTAATATGAAAGTGAAGAAGCTGCACAGATTGAACATGTCTAGAAATCATATAATGTTGATCAGCAAACAAGACCATACAAAGAGCTATGTAAATTGAAACCCAGCCACTTTGATTTTATAGATTCGTTCAAGAATATAGAAATTAATCCTTTAATGATATCGTCGGATGATTCGAGCTTTCTCAGTTATGTGGTGGGGGTCCCGTGACTTCTCATACGGTATGAGCACGTATACCTCAAACCACAGTTTAATTTAAACATCACAATTGTTGGTTTGTTGACTTTGCGGTCAAATTTGATCCGAGGATGTCAGTTGCGTGTACGATTTGAACTTCCTTCACAATGGATTTTTTCGTTGTTGACGGATGAACAATACACTATAGACTACGCCGAGGACGACGCTGCTATCGATCAACCTGAACAACTTCCTATGGGCGACCTCGCTATGCCTATGGAAAAAACATGTACAATTGGTCAAAACGAGCGCCTGCAACTGGTCGATTATTACGCATTTACCTGAACTAAAGTCCGTGGCAACCAATTTGGAAAATAATAACCCTGTGACTCGAGAAATGCCGATAAATTTCTCCAAATACGTGAAATTTTCGAGACACTCATAGAGAACTGTCGAAATTGTTATATTTCGGGTGAGTCCCCTACAAAATACGAGATGCTCGTGGGCCGATGTCCTTCTCTGTGCCTACAAGAAAACTAAAAACCGAATAAGTAATGGACTGATGATGCAAAGACTCACCACTACCTGCTCAATGCTTTCGTCTATACGAACAGAATATCACAGCAGATGACTGGTTTCACGTCAGTAGAATTACATGTATAATTGCGCATCAACCAACTGACCTATGTCGGCAGGAAGCGTAAAAATAAGTAACAAGTACCCCAACATGTAGTTCCAAATAAGAAGGAAACACAGCCAGGTACTTCTAAGTTTATGTTGTACAGCCTTAGAGTAGTATCTTCCAAAAACCAAATACACATGTTCTCGTATAGCAATCTATGCAGCATGATAACAAATAGTAGAGGAATCAAAGAACCTGATAAGATCCTATATTATTTTTAATACACTATGAAGGCGGGGGGTAATGCATTAGATCGGAAGTGTGTAAATTACAATACTGGTTAGAGAACGAGAAGATGGCCTTGTGCTATTTGGTATCCAACCAGCTTCTGTAAATTCCTTTTTTTTTCAGTCTGGGACTGAAAGTTCCATTAGGCGACGAAATTTTATTGTTCCCCTGAGGCAAACTCTAATTTAACTTCGTATGAGAGGACGTTTATCAGATCCAAGACTTCCTAGGGAGCTTCGTTCAGCCATGCAAAGAATCCTAAATTACCAACGACGAATAAAGTAAGCCGTCTACT